TCCTCTACTATTACTACGGCTCTACTACTACTACTACTACTACTACTACTACTACTACTACTACTACTACGGCTACTACGACTACGACTACCACTACGACTACTACGACTACGACTACGCCTACGCCGACGCCTACGCCTACGACTACGACTACTACTACCACTACTACTACTACTACTACTACTACTACTACTACTACTACTACTACTACTACTACTACTACTACTACGACTACGACTACGACTACTACGACTACTACTACGACTACTACTACTGCTACTACTACTACTACTACTACTACTGCTACCACCACTACTCGGTCTCGTGCGCCACATCACCACGGCTCAACCGCCTTGGGATGAGCGTCCTTGTGGCTGCCTCATTTCCAGTATGTAGGGAGCACCTCTTCTGGGTGAAATGGCGGGCCTGACGTGCACGCAGCGGCGGGCGCTGGTCCCTGCGGCCCAGAGTAAAGCGACAGCGGCGGCACAGCAGCACACGGGGCGACCCCAGTGCCGCCATCGAGGCCAACGAGCGCAAGTAGGAACGAGAAGAGGCCAGGATGGCAAGCCAAAGTGGCTAGGCGCACAGCGGCAGCAAAGCAGCACACGGGGCGACCCCAGTACCGCCAGCGAGGCCAACGAGCGCAAGTAGTCGCGAGAAGGGGCCAGGATGGCAAGCCAAAGTGGCTAGGCGCACAGCTGACCGTGCGAGAGCGAAGAGCGAAGAACTAAGCAACAGGGCCCACGGCGCGAGGGGGGGCACCACTGTGGGCGCACCCGCGCGAGCTGGCACGGCGGCGTTGCTAAAGCTGGAGCGTAAGCGAGCATACAGGCTCAGCATCATTGAGAGTGGCAGGCTCGAGATCTTAACTCAGGAACTCACGTAGCCCCCCCGAGGGCTCAGAAGTAAACGATGTTGGGGGCCTGCAGGGTCTCAGCGTTCAGGCGGACTGGCCTGTCCCTTGTGCAATGGCTGCGAAGACCTGCGACGGCAGCGCCTGCACCTCTCCCCCGAGGTCACCACTACCGCCAGCCTGCCCTGGGGGCCCAAAGATCTGGCGCTCGAGATCATCACCGAGGGCTACTACTACTACTACTACTACTACTACTACTACTACTACTACTACTCCTGCTGCTGCTGCTGCAACTACTACTACTACTACTACTACTACTACTACTACTACTACTACTACTACTACTACTAATTCCTAATACGACTACTACTACTACTACTACTACTACTACTACTACTACTACTA